CCAGTTCTGCAGATAGTAGCTCATTCTCAACTTCAAACTACTGAAGGCAATTTCTTAGGAGATTGAGGAGAGCACTCATTAGCACTTCCTTGGAATTTTCAGAGTAGTCAAGGGGCCCTGACTTTTCTCAACTTCCTTCCACCCAGTGGGCACCAGAGGGGAGAGACTGGGGCTGGCCAGTTCTCCACCGCAGTCCACATTCAGAATTTGGTGGGACAAGGATGCATACATTTCCAGGGGAACAGATGCTAGACTCTCAGGGTCCCCTACTGGAGAAGACTTGCCGGCAGGGTCTGGGGGCCCTAACCAGAGTCCTAGAGGGAAATGCAAGCAGCCAGCTGGCAAAGGCATTGCCCCTGTCAAGGGACTTGTGAGAGAAAGATCTCCATGACCTCCGGTCCTCAAAAGAACCCACAAATCACCCTAGACGAGAAAATGACAGTGCTTAAAATCTGCTACAATCAGAGGGTGCCAACATCAGATGACAACTTTACCAATCAGGGAAAATTTTTGCTTGAAATTCCAGAGGGGCCCAGAGCAGCATCTAAAGGTAGTAGATTTAGGGAATGGGAGAAGCTAAATTTATTGTCCCCTCCACACCTACCCCCTGAAATTCTCCAGGCCTGCAGTAGGCTCTGTTTTGGAGGGTGGACAAGTGAGTTTTCCATGAGTTTTACCATTTCAGTATTACAACGTTTAGGACTTTATATTAATTGAAAGTGACCAGAAAGCCTTCGGGACCTGATAAAATGCCATCCAAAGGCATTTAAAGAACAGGAGCAGAGAAGACAATTGAAATGAGTAATGGGAGAGAGAGTAAAGTTACTTTCTGCTTACACATGCTGAGTCTACCTTGCTCAATAAACTGGTTACGTCTGTTTCATTTTCCTACTCTGTTAGATGCAGGCGCAATTTGCATAAACTTTTTTATTGTGGTAAAATATATGTAACATAAAAGTGTACAATTCCATGGCATTAAGTACATTCACAATGTTATGCAACCATCACCACTGTCCATTTCCAGAATTTTTGCATCATCTCCAACCTAAGCTCTGTGATCCTAACCACTAACTCCCAGTTCCTCCCACCTCAGCCCCTGGCAGCCACAATTCTTTCTGTCTCCATGAATTTGCCTATGCTAGGTACCTCATATAAGTGGAATCTCACAATATTTGTCCTTTTGTGTCTTATTTCTCTTAGCAAATTGGCTTCAAGGTTTATCCATGTTATAACGTACTAGAATTTTATTCCCTTCAATGACTGAATAATATTCCATTGTATGCCACATTTTGTTTATCCATTTATCTGATGATGGACATTTGGGTTATTTCCACCTTTTAGCTGCTATAAACATTGGTGTACAAATATCCATTCAAGACCCTGGTTTTAATTCTTTTGGATCTACATAATATATATAAGTGGAATCACTGGATCACATGATAATTCTATGTTTAGCTTTTTGAGGAGCTGCCATACTGTTTCCACAGTGGCTGGCTGCACCATCTTGCAGTCTCAGCAGCAGCCACACACCAGGGTTATAATTTCTCCACATCCTTGCTAACACTTACTATTTTCCATTCTTTGCTTTAGAGTTTAGTTTTTGAGACTAGCCGTCCTAGCGGGTGTGAAGCGATATGTCACTGTGGCTTTGATTTGCATTTCCCTAATGACTAATGAGGTAGAGTATCTTCTCATGTGCTTATTGGCCATTTGTATATCTTTGTAGAAATGTCTATTCAAGTCCTTTGCCCATTTTTGAATTGGGCCCTTGGGGATTTTTTGTTGTTGTTGTTACTGTTGAGTTGTAGGAGTTCTTCTTATATTCTGGATATTAATCCTTTACAGATCTATGGTTTGCAAATATTTTAGGAGTTGTCATTTCACTCTCTTGATAGTGTCCTTTGATGCACAAAAATTTTAAATTTTGTTGGAGTTCAATTTATCTATTTTTTCTTTTCTTACCTGTGCCTTTGGTGCCATATCCCAGACATTGTTGCCAAATCCAATGCAGTGAAGACGTTTTTCCTATGTTTTCTTCTAAGAGTTCTATGGTTTTAGTGCTTAAGTTTAGCTGTTTGATCTTTTCTGAGTTAATTTTTCTATATGGTGTAAGAGAAGGGTCCAACTTCATTTTTTTGCAGGTGGACATCCAGGTTTCCAAGCACCATTTGTCGGAAAGACTTTCCTTTCCCCAATGAATGGCCTTGGCATCCTTGTCAAAAATCAGTTGACCATATGCATGAAAGTTTATATTTTGACTATTCTGTTCCATTGGTCTATATATGTCTGTCCTGATGCCAGTATTACACTTACCTTTCAAGTTGTAGTATTTTGCCATCGTCTTATCATAATTCTGAAAATACATAAAAATATATATCATTATTGACAATTTAAATCATATTTGTGGTAACAGCGCCTGTTTCTCTCGAGTCTCATAAACATCCTTAATAGTTAATAGTATTGTAAAAATGACTCTATCAGAATCCTTCACATTTGCCAAAAGCCTCTTACTCCTCTTTTGCGTTCCCTGCTGTTATTCCTCTCCCATAGATGCTGCCCTGGACTTGACTCTGAGAGAGTAAAAGCCAAAGTTCTTTTATTAAAATGGCCATAGCCTTGCATGATCTGCCCAATCACGGCTCACCCACCTTTCTGCCCTCATTTCTTAATTCCCCTTCTGGTACAGCTACATTGGTTTCCTTGTTTTTTTTTTTTTTTCTCTAACATGATAAGCACACTCCTAACCGAGTACATGTTCCCTGTACTTGCAGAACTCAGCACGGCCATCCATAACCACCTGTACAAAATAACCTTTTCCCTCTCTCCCCCATACGCTTTCTATGCCTTATATTTCTTTATGGCACATATCAGCACTTGACACACTGCATACATACTTATTTGATTATTGTCTGCTGTCCCAACACAACCAGAATGTAAGCTTTGTAAGGGCAGGGCTTCAGCATGAAAGAAAGAAAGAAAGAAAGAAAGAAAGAAAGAAAGAAAGAAAGAAAGAAAGAAAGAAAGAAAGAAAGAAAGAAAGAAAAACAGAGAGAGAGAAAGAAAGAAAGGAAGAAAGAAAAAGAAAGAAAGAAAGAAAGAAAGAAAGAAAAAAGAAAGAAAGAAAGAAAGAAAAAGCAAGCTTTAGAGAAAATATAGTGAGTCCTTCTTTATTCATTCAACAAATATTTATTGAGAACTTACTGTAGACTGGGCAGGAAGTGTGATGAAAACACAGTGAACATTAAACATGCAGAACTTGTTAAATGGTTCCGTACATCTAAAATATAAAATTAAATGAATTTTTTAAAGGTGTGGATGGGTTAGTCTCATAGATGATAAATCCAGATTGGAATCTTTAAAGACAAATCAAGGTTTTGAGGGCAGAACACACTGCCATTCAGCTATTGCTCAATGCACCAGGGTGGAGAGATCACCCCACCCTATTTGATTCTATATGTCCAGGGAATTTAGAATGGGGCTTCAGGGAAGCTAGTCATTCTCTACTGGTCTTTTGAACAGAGGTGAAAAGGGTAAACACCCTCATAGAGGACAATTCCTTTGCCCTTCCACACCGTGTTAGTCACCAGTTCCCAGAGCCTCCTTCAGGTCTGGCCCGGACTGTGGTCCTCCTTTGGGACCTTGTTAGGGGCTATGCAGGGACAGCGGCACGGCCCTTGCGGACTGTGATCACGTTCACAACCTATATTTGAATTGTACTATATTTTCATCGCTACTGGGGAAAAGGCCAAGTGGAAAAATGTGTGCTGTTCTAAATATAGCACCTACCTCTCTATACCTGCTAGATTTAGGTTGAAGCTTTGAGGGCACAGCCTGGACAGTCACCTCCAGTGAAGGGCTTTGGCAGGCCTCAGTAACAGAACAGACTACCGCTACTTTGGAGCAGGACGGGAAGGACAACGTTGGCAGGCCTCGGGATCCAGCCTCGGGCTCACGTGACCTGTGTGAGATGCCAGTGGCATTGAGCGCTAGCGGTGGGTTATTACAGCTTCACGGTAAGGTGAGAGATCCAAGAGAGAAGGCCCTCACCCACCTTCTTCTTAGCACGTGTTAGATGCAGGCGCTCATAAATGTTTATAAATGAGTGAATGCACAAGTGAGTGACTGAATGGGTGCACGGGTGCGATGCTTTCAAGCTGGGTAGGGAGATGGGGCGTGGGGAGCCAATGCGGTTGATTTGCACCCCCACTGACTTCGCCTCCCCGCTGGCCCTTCGCGCGTGCACGCGAGCGCGCACACGCCGGGGCAGGAGTGCCGGGGGCCAGAGAGTCTGGGGCCAGGGGAGCGAGCAAAACCGAGGACGCGCCGGAGGGGAGAGGCAGTAAAGCCCCTCGGGGGCAGGGGGAGGTTTCAGGGAGGGAGCTGGGGGCGCGGGGAGCGGCGGGAACGCGAAGAGCCGAGGTAGGGGGCAGAGCTACACAGGCGTGTCGGGAACGCGGCGCGCGGGAGGGGGCGGGGCTACGGGGGCGCGCCGGGCGGAAGGGGTGGGGGAGGGCGGTCCTGGGCGACGCGTCGCCGCCCTGGAGCGCACAATGGCCAGAGCGGGTGGCGGAGCTGGAGCCCCACCCAGTGCGGAGCGCGCCGCGGGCCGCGCCGGAGGCTAAGCGCCTCGTCCGTCAAGCGCGCCGGCGCCGGGCCATGTACTCGGGGAACCGTAGCGGCGGCCAGGGCCACTGGGAGGGCGGCGGGGCCGCGGGCGCCGAGGGGCTGGGACCGGCGGGGACGCTCAGCCCCGCGCCTCTCTTCAGCCCGGGCACGTACGAGCGCCTGGCGCTGCTGCTCGGCTCCATCGGGCTGCTGGGCGTCGGCAACAACCTGCTGGTGCTCGTCCTCTACTACAAGTTCCAGCGGCTCCGCACTCCCACCCACCTCTTGCTGGTCAACATCAGCCTCAGCGACCTGCTGGTTTCCCTCTTCGGGGTCACCTTTACCTTCGTGTCCTGCCTGAGGAACGGCTGGGTCTGGGACACCGTGGGCTGCGTGTGGGACGGGTTTAGCAGCAGCCTCTTCGGTGAGTTGGGCTGGGAGGAGAAACCATTCTCCCCTCTGCCAACTTCCATTCCCTGCATTGCCACCATCTCTGTGCGTCCCCTTGCCACCCAGCCCACTCTCAGCCCCTCCTCACGCGGCCTCATCTCCAACCCGCCCTGCAGCTCAGCGCCCGCACCAGTCTCGCCTCCTCTCGTCAACCCCAAGCTGCATGGCTTTCCTTCCTCTTTACTTCACCTCCTCTCGCCCCACGGCGGCCTCGGCTGTGTCCCTGTGGCCACTTCTCTTCCCGCAGCCGGCCCTAAACCCCAACCCGGCTTTGGCCCCAGCTCCTCCCTGACTCCCTCCATCCGCTGTCCAGTTCGTCTCATTTCTGTTTTCACCCCCTAATACAATTCAACAGGGCACGAAACAGCGGCTTTACACTTTGAGGAAAGAAACAAGGGGCTGTAGAGTCAACAGATTCAAGAAAGCGAGTAACTAACTCATGAAAGCTGGAGAGGGTGATGAGAAGAGATTTAATTCAATAGTCTTTGTAGCAGAGGGGCAGTGTGTGTAATTTTTTTCTTTAATTTTGCTCATTAGCAGATGTAAACCTTTGCTTCCTAGGAAGTGAAAGAGCTTCATTCAGGTCCTCAGAATGCAAATCGGCATGTGGCCTTATAAGCTATTTCTACTATATTTTCCTCCTTAGTGGTTCCAGCACACCAAAATCTAAGGGGAGATTACAGCTGGCTCAGAGAATCCCACCCTAGATGGACAAATAATTAGCTGTGCAGCCAGTAGATTTCATTAAAGTAGAATTTGAGTGTTAATTGAACATTTATTTCAACAATACTCCTAATCCTGTGGACGATTCAAGTCTCACTAAGACTTGACATTTTGAAGGATGATCATTTTGAAGGATGTATCATTGAAGATGTTATTTTCTAAGCTTGGGAATTATCCTTCTGTGTGTGCTCCAGGAATTTCATTGACACAAGATGTGAAATAGGAATGTGTATTTCTCAGGTCTTAAAGTTCCTTGGAAAAAAAACAAAACAAAACGTGAAATAGATTGATAATTTATTACTGCTTTTATCTTGGCAGGTTTTTGAGAACAAAATCTTTGTAGCATTATCAGAAATTGTCTTATTCCCCCAACTTCCTATGTTGTGGCAGACCCAAATATTATGATATTTGTTATAATTAACTTTTTGGTGTTTTGAAGGAAACAAAATTGTCATAGAAATCATGATTTCATTTATTTGATTGACTCAATGATTCTAATAGTCTAATACTACTTCCCCCTCCTCAATAAGCAATCTGAGAGTTTTATTTATACAAATATTTGAAACTTGGGAGGGGGCCTTAAGTGTATGTAGGTGGTGATATAGATGGCTATGTGCTTATACACTTTATATTAATTTAAAATACCTGTCAGGCAATTTTTTAGGCAGGGCTAAGCTTTCATTTAAGGAGGGTGATTGAAGCTTAAACCTGAAGTGTCATCAGTAATGCTTCCTGGGCTGGGCAACAGGTGTTTGTTCACAGACATGAAAGTTCTTATTTCCAAGAAGTGCTTTTTCTGTGCGGGACAGTTCTGTTTCTATTTGGACTCTGGGCCTGGGGGCTTAAAAACAAGGGTATGTTGAGTTCTTTATTAGTACCAGCATTCACCCTCTTGCTCATCTCTTGCCTCTGTGACCTCATTCTCCTGCTGCGTCTCCTTCCTTTGCTTTTTCCTCTTTCAGTTCTTCCTGCTCAGGTCCCATCCTAGTCAGAAGGGATTTTCTAAGACTGCTAGAAATGTTCACCACACACGCTGTTTTGCCTGACAACTGCTCTGTTGCTCTGGGCATATACTTACTGCTTTCAACCATAACTTTATCTCTGTTTTTAAATTAGAGGTGGAAACTCCGGGGTAAGAGATTCAAAGACTTTGTTTAAGCCCTGGGTGACAAGTCAGTAGTGGGGTTATGATGGACTGAAAAAGTTCTTAGCCAAGATTAAGATTTTCTTTGCTTGAAGTAAATTCCAAGGATTGTGCTTCTAAGATAAGGGTTAAAGTCAACAGAAGGGAGGGTGCTTCCCCGGTTGTTATCCCTGAACAAGAACTAACCCTGGAGTGTTGAAGGGGGAGGACATTTAAAAATGCCAGAAGTGGCTGCTTGTTCTAGGGGTTCCTGGAGAGGCTGCCCTATCAAGTGGAAAGCCCAATGGCCTCCTGACACAAGAGTGGGTTCTACTCTGTCACCTGGCTAACGTTTTGTGTGGACTTTCCCAGCCACTTAATCCCGCCTGCAGTCAATTTTGTTATCTCTCTTATGGGGGAGTGAGCTAAATGTTCTTTAAGGTTGTTCTGTCCTATGTGCTTGGTATTTTGAGGACTCTTTTGATATCTGTGGGTTAGAAGGTGCCTGGTTTTGGCACTTATGGCTTGTATCCTCTGTTCTATCTCCTGAGCCAAGAATAAGCACATGCTGTGGTTACACTTCTTCATATACCTTCCTGGGTTCTGTCTTCCTCTGCACACCCTGCAAGAAGAAGGCGGGATTAAGTAATGCAGACATACTTACATACATGTATGAGTAGGCAACGCAACTGCCTCATCAGTGCTCAATTCCTGGTTTTTCAGGGAATGCTGAAAACAAGTAGAATCTCTGATATTCTTGAGGCAGAGGCTTTGACTAGACAGGACTGTTAAGATTGCCATTTCACTTAAACTGACCAGTCGGTTTGTTCAGTGAACTTGTCAGTTTAATCCAACTTTTGGTTGAATGGCTTGTTTTACAAATGTCCAAGCTAATTGGTCATCTTAGCCTAGGCAGGCCCAGTTAGTACTGATGTCGATTTAAGTAAGTGTAATGATAGAGAAAATTAGCTCTCTGAGAACTCTTCCTCAAACTGCACAATGACAACTGATAGAAAGGCCCCCTTCACGTGGTGTGTATAGTGCATTAGCCTAAAGACTTCCAGGTGAGTATGCCTTTTACCCCCTTGGCTGTTGCACCTCTAGCCACACTTAGCGCCACACAAATGTTCTGTGTGTGGCATAATAACCAGTATTATGCCAGAAGTTAATGGGAGAGCCTTTCTTCCCTGCTACCTCCTACCCTTCAAAAACAGCAAACAACATGTTAATCTTAGCAGAGGATGATGATTAGACGGGCCTTTATCTTGGGATACAGAGATTCATTGTCATAGAGCCAGAGTCTGGCAAAATGCAGGTCACCCAATGTTCACTTGGATTTTAGAAGCAGGTATTATTTATGTTAAGATATTTTAACTTACAAAGATAGGAATTTTCCTTTTTAACTTACACCTAAAAAAAACACATGTGCTTATGTACATTCATATAAAGATTTGTTAAAAATGCATGTTCCCTTCAGTAGACCTTTTTTTGCACCTAAATATCTCAAAATGCTAGTTGTTTTACTGAAATAATCCTTTTGCAATAATCTGGCTGGTTAATTCAGTTGAAATAGTCTCACGATGCTACCACGAGATCCTAAGGGTGCTTGTGGCATGGAAATGCCTTCATTCAGCTGTTCTAAAATCACCCACAGGCTAAATTGGCCACAGAAATATTCCTCTTTATGACAATGGGTGCACAGTATGTAGTCTGTTTCCATAAACACATTTTTTATAGTCTAAGCTCACAGTTCTGTATAGTTTTATTCAAATATTAATTTTACTAAAAGCAAAAGTTACAGAATTGTATTATGAAAATTCTTTGTTTTTATGGGACATCATGAGGTCCTTTCCTCATTATTGCGTGGTTTTGGGGGGTAAATCTCTATTGTTCATTTTTGAGAAATTAGAAAATATGTAAGAAAGCATTTAATGTTTTGCTTTCCTAGGGGCTTATGTCCTGATAACAAGTCAGACTCCGGTGGAGTAATTGTAATTGCTGTTGCATGAAATTACTTTTCTCTTAATATTGTTTACAGTTGTATTCTTTCTTGAATTTCTTCTTTCAGAGAAGAGTTCCAGTCACAAATGCATGTGTGATGCATTTTGACATTTACTGCTAGGATGAAATGCAGGAATGAAAACCACACATCCGTTTTAGTGTTCTCAGATGTGATTAGATATACTTTATCATATTTTTATGCTACTGACCTATAAGGAAAACAATATTAAGAAAGGTTAACTGTAAACAGCTAGTTCCTGCAACCTCAGTACTTCTGGGATGACCTGGAATATCACAAGGAGAGATTTTATTACAGCATATTCACATCTCAGCTGAGCCGTCAGCCTAGACTCACACGCATTTCCTTTATCGGCAGTTGTCACCAGACGCTTTATCTCCCAGAATGGCGGACAGTCTTCCCACAGAGTTCGATGTGGTCATAATAGGGACAGGTCTGCCCGAATCCATCCTTGCAGCTGCGTGTTCAAGAAGTGGCCAGAGGGTTCTGCATCTTGATTCAAGAAGTTACTATGGAGGAAACTGGGCAAGTTTCAGCTTTTCGGGATTGCTCTCCTGGTTGAAGGAGTATCAGCAAAACAGTGACATTGCAGAAGAAAGTACTGCCTCATGGCAAGGCCCGATCCATGAAACAGAAGAAGCTATCACTCTTCTCAAGAAGGATGAAACTATTCAACACATAGAAGTTTTTTGTTATGCCAGTCAGGATATGGATGACAGTATTGAAGAGACTGATGCTCTGCAGAAAAATCCTTCCTCAATAATATCTAGTACCACCACTAAACCTCTGGATTCTGCATGCTTGTCTGAAGAAACACATTCATTATATGCTACTGGCCATGAATTGCCTGCCAAAGACACTCCAAAAAGTGACGGAGAAATTTCACTAGAAGTAACTGATGTTGAGGACACCTTGGCAAAAGAAAAATATTGTGGAGATAAAACTTGTATACACACAGTTTTAGATGGAGATAAAGATGAAAACAAACCTATAGAGGAAGACAACACTGACCAACCAAAGAGAAATAAGATTACTTACTCTCAAATAGTTAAAGAAAGCAGGAGGTTTAATATTGATTTGGTATCAAAGCTTCTGTATTCTCAAGGATTGCTAATTGATCTCTTAATCAAATCAAATGTTAGTCGTTATGCAGAATTTAAAAACGTCACTAGGATTCTTGCATTTCGTGAAGGAAAAGTAGAACAGGTGCCTTGTTCCAGAGCAGATGTCTTTAATAGCAAAGAACTCACTATGGTTGAAAAGAGGATACTGATGAAATTTCTTACGTTTTGTTTAGACTATGAACAACATCCTGATCAATACCAAGCTTTTGTGCAATGCTCATTTTCAGAGTACTTACAAACTAAAAAATTAACCCCCAATCTCCAACATTTTGTGCTGCACTCAATTGCAATGACAGAGTCATCTTGCAGTACAATAGATGGCCTTAAAGCAACTAAAAACTTCCTTCGGTGTCTTGGACGGTTCGGCAACACTCCCTTTTTATTTCCCTTGTATGGGCAAGGAGAAATTCCCCAATGTTTCTGCAGGATGTGTGCAGTTTTTGGTGGAATCTATTGTCTTCGTCATAAAGTTCAATGCCTTGTAGTTGACAAAGAATCTGGAAGATGTAAAGCAATTATAGATCACTTAGGTCAAAGAATAAATGCTAAATATTTTATTGTGGAGGATAGTTACCTTTCTGAGGAAACATGCTCAAATGTACAGTATAAGCAGATCTCCAGGGCAGTGCTCATTACAGATCAGTCTATACTAAAGGCAGATTCAGATCAGCAAATTTCCATTTTGGTAGTGCCTCCACTGGAATCAGGAACATGTGCTGTTCGTGTCACTGAATTATGTTCTTCAACCATGACGTGCATGAAAGACACCTATCTGGTACATCTGACCTGTTCATCTTCTAAAACAGCACGAGAAGACTTAGAGTCAGTAGTGAAGAAATTATTCACCCCATTTACTGAAACAGAAATAGACAAGGAAGAACTTACAAAGCCAAGACTCTTGTGGGCTCTTTATTTTAATATGAGAGATTCCTCAGGAATCAGCAGAAGCTCATATAATGGCTTACCTTCCAATGTTTATGTCTGCTCTGGGCCTGACTGTGGACTGGGAAATGAGCATGCAGTCAAGCAAGCTGAAACGCTTTTCCAGGAGATCTTTCCCAGTGAAGAATTCTGCCCCCCACCTCCGAATCCAGAAGACATTATCTTTGATGGTGATGATAAACAGCTAGAGGCTTCTGGAACCAATAATATAATCATGGCCAAACTAGACTCCTCTGAGGGAAGTAAAAACTTAGAAAGCCCAGGGAAGCACCTTCAAAACTAGAAAAAAGCAAACTGGAATGCTACTTTGGGCCTTCATCCTGGCATCAGAATATTTTCATTTAAAGGACCGTTTTCTATATGATTAATTAGTACTGGTTATATGATGAATGCTATGCAGATGTTGTCTTAAATTCTGTTTGAGACATTCAGTCATTGGATGTCATTGTTCATCTATCAGTAACTGATTGATTATTGGATAAGGTTAGTTTTATTTTAGTATTGGGTGTATTAGGGTTCTATATTAGCAACTGTGTTTAAAGGGACGTAATATGTGTCTGCTAATGACCTTCAGATTTTATTAGTCTATAATCACAATATCTAAGGAATATTTTATTTACTTTTGCAATTATTTTAGTTGCTACTGCCTCTGAATAATTAAACACATACAGTAAATTATGTGGGTCTTTTGTATATAGTATAAATGTACAGACACAGTGGTAGCAATAGCAACTTATGCAAGTGCCAACTGTTAAAAGATTAGCTTTGGATGATCCTTTATTTGTGAAGGTCTAGTGTTTACAACACATTGTGCAGTTCAGTTCCCCTACTTGACCCTTGTAACTGGCGAGGCAATGACACCACCACAATCTTCTGTATTACAAGAAAGTGGTGGATTGTTCATCTGGTCATTGAAGAGGTCATTCTTGGGAAATTTGACCCAAAGGAAATCTAGGGGTCAGATTAGTTCTGGTTTAATACTTCAGAAGATTTCTGCAGAGCCCTGTGCTGGCACCTAAAAGAAAAGAACTTCCAACAACTAACTCGAGCCAAAAGAAAAAAATATATTGCCCTAGGAAAAGGTACTGCAGATAGGCTGTTTTGAAATTCCTAAGAAGAAATGCAGTGAGGCATTTCTAACCTGGGATGCTGATGGTTTTTCAAAGCCATCCATAGATTTCCCGAGGTTTCTTCATGAGGGTGAGATCTACCACCTTGTTGGCACTACCACTTTAACTAACAGCACTGACTATGACAGATAGGAGTGAATAAAGAAGGAGGGTTTCACCATGTCTCCTCCCTTGAGTCTCACCTCGCAGTTAGTGAGGTGACTGCCTCCATGAACACTTCTGCCTTTCAACTGTTATCTAGAGAACAGAAACTTTTTTTTCTAGAGCCATCAGAAGTCAAAACTTGTACTCCAGTAGTGAAAACCTGTAGAGTTGTCAGAAGAGGTAAACTGCCTCCCCCTTCAGTCTCCTGTTTCCATTCCTCTGAATAGTAATCCTATAGGAAGAGAGCCCTCCAGAGCCAATTTTCGTTCTGGAATGGAGCATTTACTTATGTGCTAGACACTTGTGCTTTCTAGTTAGAGTTTCTCAACACCCTGTGAGGCTGATAGTATTGAATACGTTTTTAAAGAAGAGGCAAAGAGGTAAAGACAATTATTAATAATTTGCCCAGGGTCTGGTATGTGGAAGAACCAATGTTGGAATCCAGGCTGTCAGGATTTTGAAGTCTCCAATAACATTAACTGTTAGAGGAGTGCAGGCGCTGCAGGAGGAGGAGAAGACGCTCATAAAAATTCATGTACATTTTGGGGGAAGCAGAGCAGACAGACTCCGGTCTCTCAGCTTATACTCAGATCAGGGAAATGTGAAGATAAGAATTAATTAGGAATAAATATAGGTTAGAGCTAAGGAGCTAATGGAAGCAGAATTTGGCTAAGTTTTAACAAAGTAATGCTTTTTAATAATGTTTCTTTTGATCTGAACGTGTTATAAAAATATGCAGATGTTACTAGGCAAAATAAGTTGTGAGTAGTCTTTTGTTGCTCTACTATATGTGAGGAAAATGAAACAAAGACTTAAGTAATTTACAGGTGAAAATAGAAGTCATGAATTGGTATTAATATTTATGCTTTTTTTTAATATGGCAAAGTGGTTCTATTAGGTATATCCTAAGGTTTAAATGTATCAAAATAATTTTACCGTCTATAAAACAGAACTAATACTTTGCAGAATTTTTGTGAAGATTAAGATAATGTGTTTGAAATCATATCCAAAGGAATGCCACTAGATGACATTAATATGTAGATTTATTACACTTCCACTTAACATTCCAACTGATACTTTATGTAATTTGACAGAATTGTGGCAAATTAGGAAAATAGGCAAGGAAAGATAGATTTATCTTTTTAACTTAGGGGAAAAAAATTAGAGTCTTGCCCTTTAAATACTAAATTAACCTTTCTAAATATACTATGTTGCTGAGTAGGAAGTTTAAGACTTAATAAACCAGTTGGAAAGAAATAATTATGTAATAACTACTGGTGGAAAGATTAATTGGATGTCAGTGTGAAAAAAAGAATTAGGCCCACTTTACACGTGGTAAGACCATTCATTCCGTATGAATTAAAATGTTGATTATAAAGGTAAAAATAAAAAGACTACAATTCTCATCCCAGTTGTACAAAAGAAACTTTATGGCAGTGAAAAATATCTTTGACAGCGTAGGTGAGATCAACTAAAGAAAAATGAAAAATGTACACTAAATCGGAAGAAGACAAAAAAAGAAGAGATTGGATTTTTAAAAAGCTACTTGAATCACACATGGATAAAGTGCTTAATATTTTTTAAAAAGGAGATGTAAAGCCATAAAGTTTCTACTCTTTACTAAGTAAATTTATGAAAGGATAGAGTACAAATGAGAAGATTCAAGTAAAAGTCATTCTTGGAATGATATTCAGGTTTCCTACTATTAAAAATGCAAATTGAAACAACTTTGACCTGGTTTATGCTATTATATTAGCAAAACATTTTAAAATTCATGTGTTTTCATACCAGTAGCATTATATTAGTAATTTTTAAAAGAACTATTTAGATGAATGTAACAAAAGCTCTGTAACCAATCTATTTTTGGCTAGATCAAGGCACTTTGAACAGCATATGCCCAGGAAAATAGTTAAAAGAAAAATAAGCTACTTGTACAAGATACTTATAGCAATTCTATTCTTACACGTTTGAAAAAAAAGCCCAGTATTTGGGAAATGGATAAGTAAATTTTGATGTATTGGTATTGCTATTGTACACCATTACCTAGTCATTAAATGATATATGTAAAATTGTATGAAAAATGTTAAATGATTCAAAAGTGTTAAAACATGATTTTATGTACTGATTATATTTGTGTAAAAGTTTAGGTGTCTACCTTGAAAAGAATCAGAAGAAAACATGTAATTAATAGGAGTTTAACATTAAGGGGTTCTTTTTTTCTGTAAAATGTTGATGTGTATGATACAAATAAAAAAATAATTGGTAAAGTGGTTACTGAATTGGTGAGAAAGTTACTGATTTTTTGGGAAACATAAAATTCTTCAAATTAAAAAAAATGTAATTTTTTATTTTAATGTCAAATGGTAATCTCCAAAAACACAGAAAGTGTTACAACTCTTCTTGCAAAGGACTTCTTGGTTAAGATGGATTTTGTACCTTGTATCTTTCCTCAGTTGCTCAGAATTAAGAAATAAGGTATATTGTGGCAACACTTTTTTAAAAAATGGAAACCCCAGAGACAGAGGTGGAAATAATAGAAATAATATTAAAGCATCCTAGGACATCTGTATGAAGACATTACATACTAATTAAAAAGTGTGGCCCCAAATCCGAGAATATACTCTTCATTTGGGGGTTTTGGGGGCCAGGGAAATGAAGGAGGATTTGGAGTCATAGACATGGCCAAGCCTCTCTCTGAGGAGTGTTCTCAGGGAGACCACCTAAGGACAGATCTCAGGGCACTGAGGATGCTAGCAGACCCTTTCTTCCTGTCAGCCTGATACCTTTTTACCTTAATGAGAATATAAAACGTTTTCTATCCATCATACTCCCTGCTATAACTACTACCACCCTGTTCCCCCCGCCCCCACAAAGAAAAAGAAACGGGATATCTGGTTTGAGATGCACAGCATTCCTTTAAAGGGAGTCCAAACATTTTACTACAGTTGGAAACAAGTAGCTTAAGAGTTAAAAGGTCAGTTAAGTCTATTTTAGCTACCACTTAGCTAATTAAGAAGTTTCTCACATTAATCAGAAGTTTTTTGTGTTGCTTGGGGGGAAACATGAAAAGAAAGTACAAGAGATGGGGTCCCAGGGACCCAGGGCACTGAGAGCTCAGGGAGTCAGGAATGTAAATACACCAAAACGATGAAGCAGATCATAGAGCTCCAAGGCCAAGAAGTTCTGATTAGGATGAGTTGTATTTCCTTCCTCTTGGCAGCACAGGTGGTAGTCATGCTCTCACTGCATGGAGGTAGTTGCCTCCTCTTTGAAGATTTTTAAATTTTTACTTCAGTATCTCTACCTTCGTTATTAAGAGGCATTGTTTCTAGTGTGGTTCTTAATTCTTTTAACTGACAACCTAATGTATTCACATTTCAACAGCAGGGAACACAATACGGCCAGCTCTCTGTAAGGCATGAACAAAGAAGCTGCCTGAGCTGGAAGAATTGGACTCTAATGTGCATATTAGGAGAGCAGTCCTGCTGCAGCACTGGTAGGAACACTGCCTTTTCTCTTGACAACTACATTTTCTTTCATGAACCTCAGAACAACTATGTCAGGTAAGAAAGGGCGGGTATTTATACCCGTTTCCTAGATAAGACCTGGAGGAATTGAGGGACTGAAGTGGACACACCCCTAGTGAGTGTCAAGATCATTCATTAGAATTGCAGCATAACTGTGCCAGGCTGCCTCCGGGTCGGCATAGCTGTGTGTCGCATGTAAGAGTGTGTAACACAGAAATCACTGCTTGAAAAGTGGCTCCTAGAATTTTAGAGGACATTTGTTTTTCAACAGGTAGCAAAAAATCTTCCTATCAATTAAGATCTGTGTGATTAAAGTGGGACGATGGGTTGGGAGAGGGCAAAGGAAGTTGATGACTTAAGGTCATACCGGAAATCAAAGCAGACGGTTTCATTATCCCAGTATTTATTTATTTTGAGAGCTTCATTTCTTGATATGCAGTGTCTATTAGCTCCTGCTGTTGTCCTAGGATTTTGGCATTTTCTTGTTGCTAAATATGTATTTAACCCTAACACCCTATGAACGATGACTATGAATAAAGGCATGTCTGTCATCGGAGGAAACAGTGGCTTCAGAAGTGCAGGGTTGACAAAGTATAATAGGAAGGTAAATACCTGTTTGTAGTTCAGTGCCTAATCTTTAGGCACGTTCTAGTTTTAAAGAAATAAGATTCTTTGGGGACATTCATT